GACAATTCATCAAGGAGAGAAGAGAATCATAAATGAGGACAATGGAACCCAAGATAGAAATCCTTGGATTCACGGGGTCCACTGTATAAGGTACATGTGTGAGTGCTTTAAAGGAATGAGGGATTCCACCAAAGAAACTAGTGTCCTCAAAAGCAAAAGAACCTCATGTGAAGGAAGAGAATAAGAACTGCAGAACCTGGTGACAAGATATGTCATAGCATGAAAAGTACTTAATCCTCAGAAAATGCCCCTCCCCCCCAACTGAATAGTCACCTGTAAAAGTAGGGAGGTGAGAGAAGAGGAAATCATCTTAGAATGGGCCAACGATAAGTATTGTCAGCCTCAGGCCATGAATATGTTGAGTCAAGTCCCTCACAATACCAATGAATACAACAGGACAACGTTAAGTCAGAGGGAAGAGAAAGGAATAGGAAGATGCAAAACTGATGGACAAAACATATAAATATGGAGAGTGAGTCAAGAGTAACATGGAAGAAGTTATCTGACACACCAAACACAGACTGATTGAAAAAATCATAGATGGGGTCAAAGGAAGGAGACAATGAACTGGGAAGAGAAGCAAGGAGAGAGAAACCAAGTTGAATATATATGAAAACCAACTATTGTCAAAAATTAGATCAACAGCAGGAGAAGAGATGGGTACCCACAAATTCATAAATGTCTGATAGTCACTGACGAGAAGAGATAGGTACCCACAAATTCATAAGTGTCCGATAGTCACTGGCAGAAGAGATAGGTACCCACAAATTCATAAGTGTCTGATAGTCACTGATGAGAAGAGCAGTGAAATAGATTTCTGGCAAAAGGAGGACTAGACTAAAAAAGAGAAAAGCCTGGAACCTGGAATGGGAAGGTTAAATATAGACTTATCTATAAGAGAAACAGTGGTAAAGAACAAGGTCGAGAAAAAAAAATTCTGGGAAGATAACAAGGACAGAAGCAGTATAATGTCAGTCCAAGTCACCACACAGAAATGAACTCCGAAAAAAAAATGTCCAGACAAAAAAAAAAGGCCTGACAAATCCCAAATACACAAAAAGGAGAAAGGAATGCAGTAAAGTACAAAACCTAATCCAATGAGTCCCAACAGCAGGGAAACAAAGGAAGGGAGGATAGATCAAAAGAAATGAAACAGGTTAAGCTGGAAAAGAGAAAGCAAAGTTAAAGGGAATACATAATAGTGGAAAAAATGCAAAAATAGGGAACCAGAAAGTGAAATAGAAGGTAATGGGGCCAATCCCCAAGTTGGTCAAATAGATACTAAGTATAAGGAATTGAAAAAAGGAAAAAAAGTCTACAAGTTAGGACAAAAAGGGTCATGAATGTGAGGAGGATGAGGCATGTGGGTGTGAGAGAGGAGCTATTAGAGAAAGGAAACAACATAAATCCTAATAATAAACATGAAGGAATGTCAATAGTTGTGAATCATGGAGTAAAAAAGGAGAAAAAAACAAACACAGGCAAACAATAAGGAGCATACCTGAGAATGAAATCCAGAAAGAGATTAGAAGGTCAAGGTTGTTTCCTGAATAGTAAAGCATTACCCAAAGCAAGTCAGGTTAAGGTGGTAATCCAATAGAAGCTTCAAAATTGAGGAGAAAGAATTTTGGCTAGCAGGCTGAGAGTAGGAGGCCAAGTAAGCATGTAGTAACAAGACACAGTGAACAATAGCTGAAACCTTTACCAACAGTTAATGAGCTTCCAGAAACCACAGTAAAAAGGAGGACAAAGTATAAGTCAACATCATTTCAGAATTCACTAAAAAAAATTAAAGCTTTCAAAACAAAATTAAAAGTTTCATTAACAAGACAAGTTCCAGCAACTTGAGCTCAGACAAGAAATTGAAACACATCTGTTCAATACAATGCTCAGAGAAGAATGAAGCTATCATGTGTGCAAATGCATAGGAGAGTTATTGGTGGAGAGCTTTTGTAGCATGATGATGTCATGACACCAGCAAAGCTCACGTTAACACATGTGAAATTAGGTGGGAGTTATCTCAAGGCTAGTGGCATGCAAATCTCTTAGCCAGAAGAACGAGGAAAATAGCTAAACTGTGTGAGGATGCGAGTTATAATTTTGGAATTTTTCTTTATATTTTATGATAAAGTTATTATTCCTGATAATGTTTTTGCAATATATCTGCTTCCAAGCTACTTAAACATTTATTATGACAAGACATCAGGTAAGGACATTTAGGCTTAGCAAGTACAGTAAGCTAAGGTCTTCAATGTTTTTGCAATATGTCTGCTTCCAAGCTACTTAAATATTCATTATGACAAGACATCAGGTAAGGACATTTAGGCTTAGCAAGTACAGTAAGCTAAGATCTACAAATGCACCAATTTGGATTAAACAAATCCTTTTTTTTATTGAATATATTGTAAAGTTCATTGTATTGAAACAAAAATTTATTATTTATAGAAAACAAATTAAAACTATTAGATATAAAGTAATCTTGTTCAAAAATCTTTTGGCAAAAAATCACACTATAGCACTTGACAAAAGTAACAGTGACACCATTCTGAAAGGTGAGATCATTATTCACTAACATATCTATGTCAATCATTCCATTATTGTATGATGTGTAGTGAAAAACCGGTTGCTTTATTTGAAAAAATAAAGTATCCAAGTATGTTGCTGAATATCAAACAAGTTAACATTAATTAGACATATAAAACTGAACTTACTGACCAACAAAAAAAGATTAGAAAGCCTAAATGAGAATATTTATTTTCTTTTTCAACATTTTGAAAATATTAAAATTAAAAAATGATACAAATACTAAATCAAACTTTACAAACTTGTTTATGCAGAGGCTAGACACTAATCAGCAAAACTTAAACCAACTTTCCTATAATTTGGATAAGTATTTTCATTAGGAGAATGCAAGACCAGCAAGTGCTTTTAGCATCCACAACCCTTATGATGATAATGTATATCTAAGACTACTAACTTAAGAAATTTGTGTAATTTCCAATTTAATATATACAATACTGTTTAAGAGTTATTCCTACCTTCAATTCCTGAGACTTGGAGCCTGGTATTGTTACAATAAGCTCCTTTTCCTTTCCTAGCTGAGTACATCTTATTCAACATAGGATTATACACAATCCCCAGCACAATCTGACCAAACACAAACAAAAGCTATATCAATTAACATGAAATAAAAATCAAAAACAAGGGCAAAACCAAACATACAAAAAATAACTTCCTAGATTGATAACTTTTTCATTTCAATCATCATCTAACTGGTGGACATAAGTAACTTTGCAAATAGTATTCAGCTATTAATAAAAAATTAATAAATTTGTTTATTCTTTTCTTCGGTTATTTATACATAACCCAAACTGATATCTTAAATATTTTAAATCCTTTTCATCCAACATATTCTCCACTCTCACAAGGTTATAGTACAGCTGAGTACTTTTTAAAACACCCAGTAATGTTGATCATAAACTGCAAACAGAAGTGGTAAAATGTTAAAATTTATCACATATTTTAAATGAGTAGATAACTGACTTAACAATATTATTTTATCTTCATAAAGTGATTGGTCTGCCAAAAGATAGAACTTACTACATTCATTTTAATTTTAATTTCATCACTTGTCTATGTTTACTGTACCTCCTTTTTAATTGCTAAGCCTATGGATACTCCCATATAAGGAAACCTGCAAAAAAAGATAGTGATTTTGTAAATAAATGCAGTTGTAAGATTATCACTGCACATATTACCTCTATAAAAAAAAAGACACACATACAGACAAAATTTCTGTTGAGGGCAAATCCAATCCACTTAATAATACCAATTCATTTCTTCAACTTCAAACTACATGTTTAGCATAAACAGCATTCACAGATAGGCCTAATTTCACAAAAAAACTATACCTAACAGAAATTCCACTTACTTACTAATTACGTATCTCTCATTCTTTGAAGAAACACAAACTCAATATTCACTACGCTAACTGGCTGACAGTGACAAACAAACTGAACTGAAAATTCATAAAGTTACTACTTATAAACAAATTCTACTATAACTCACTTTTCATATAAGCTTCAAGCTGTTTCTTAAAAATTGGAGAAAGTTCCAAACATTAATGATACCCGTCATGTCACATTAGACTTCTTACAACAACACAAGTTTCTACAAATGTCTAAATTAAAAACATTACAGTATGAAATAACGTGACACAAGAAGAAATGCACAAGCATGGAAAACCTGTAAAATCAGTTGCAAACAAAAATTAGTTCATTTCTTGATTCACACAGTGTTAACACTCTAAAGTTTACACACTCAGATTAATCAAAATGTTATCAAAAAGCCTTATAATGATCACTCATCGTCACTTTAATGATGCTAGATTTACATAAAAAACAACTATACAAAAAAGGAAAATAATGCAAGAATTATCAACAAAGGTAATAATAACTAATTAATTGTTCATGATGTCAAAAAAAAATATGTAGGTTCAAGAAGTCTTGATACAAAACCATAAAAACCCTATAACCCGAGCACTTTCAAAAGGTGGACCTTTCTTCTTCAAGGGCAAACTGGGAAGAAGAAAGGTCCATCTTTGGAAAGTGCTGGGGTTATAGGATTTTTATCATTTTGTATCAAAAATAATTAATTGTGACTGTACAATCAATAATTAATTGTGACTGTACAATCAGATTTCATTCAAACATCTGGTTTTTTAGGATTAGTGGTGAGTAGAGGATTTCACATCAAAACCTACAAAGTTAATGAAGTCCACCACACTATTAATATATGTACATTCTACAGTAATACATTTATAAAAATTAATAATGATTGGATCTGTTTACATGACATAGTATACATTCTGTTAAACAATGACAGGTCTATTGCAGATTGTGCTCCATCATTAAATATTACATGTTGTTTAACCATGTCCTAAAAATTTCAAAAATATCCTAACCCAGGCTACTTTGAGCAAACATTAAACCTTTCTAGCTCAACAACTGCAGGTATGAAACTCACAAATGTATCTTGATGCATACACTGGAGAACAAAACATATTTTCACATTTACAAAGCATACAAATGAGGTTTTAGATCTTCTTTGGTAAAATTTTTAGATATCATATACAAAGAAAAATTATTTTCTTAGAATTGTACGAGTAACAGCACACAGTATATTTGTATTTCCCAATGTTGTTTTGAAACAATGTGCATCATGGTACTACTGTGGCTTATCAGTATATCTAAGTCCCATATTTTTAACCACAGCATAGCAGCTGATAGGATGGCTCCGAGTTTTTTTCAAGTACAAGCTTTTACCTCATACCTTTGTCATCTCTCGACCAATTTGATATCCAATTACAGTTTTGGACTCATGAAGTCAAACCTTTTCAACTGATGTATTTGACCACACCCAAGGTCTCATAGATTAATTTACTCTAATCCTGCCTAAATAAATTTCAATTTGAGGGTAGGCTGGTAGAGATCCTGAGGAGTAATAAAATCAAATCAGGTATGCGTGTGCCCTATGCTTCATATTGCTGGCACACAAAACTATAACCAATAAAAAGGAAAAAAAAAGTCTTGTAGATTAGTTTTCTCTAACTCTACCTAAAAGAATTTCAAGTGCCGAGGCTACTGAGGATTCCCTATTGTTCTCAATATTTTCATATAATTCTTATGCAAAGCACGATTTGCCATGTCAGCTTGTTACATTGCTAAGCAATCAATTACATTAGTCCACAATACACGAATTTTGCAAAATCTGCTACCCAGAGTTCTTTGCAGAAGGAACAATAAAAGAAATTAACTGAGATAACATATCATAATACACACTGTAATACATATCACAATAACCAGTGCTACCACAATGATACTACAATAACAAAAGAAATTAACTGAGATAATATATTATAATACACACTGTAATACATATCAAAATAACCAGTGCTACCACAATGATCCTACAATAACAAAAGAAATTAACTGAGATAATATATCATAATATACACTGTAGTACACATCACAATAACAAGCCCTACCACAATGATCCTACAATAACAATAAAAGATATAATACACACTGTAATACATATCACAATAACCAGCCCTACTACAATGATCCTACAATAACAATAAAAGAAATTAAATGAGGTAATATATCATAATACACACTGTAATACATATCACAATAACCAGTCCTACCACAATGATCCTACAATAACAATAAAAGATACAATACACATCACAATAACC